AGAAGAGAATATAAATATAGACAGGATACATGACTATACAGGCCGTTAAACAGGTACCAAGGTCATCACGTCGCCATTATACGATGCGTGATGATGAAGGTTTTATTATTTGCCATTACGCAGGCGATGTTTGTTACGATACTGCTCAGTTTCTTGATAAGAATAATGATACTTTACATGGATCACTACAATGTCTCATGCTACAAAGCAGGTTTGTTGCTCAAAAATATTTTCCGAAATTATAATCTTTTAACTAATAGTTAATTGCAAGAAATATTTCAAAATCTAACGATGACAGCTACTGAATATTTCTTGAAGAAGTTTTTGTTGATACAATCAGTTATCACTCACGTTCAGTTGGTAATAAAATTATAGGGAAGAAACAAACCAAATGGAATGCCTTTCACATCGATACCACGTGCAGCGACATCAGTGCAAATGAGGAATTTCGCTTTTCCTTTCTAAAATTAATTTCATTTCAATAAAGAAAGGAAAATATCCTTTCAGAAAAATTGCATATTCGGAGTTTTATCCGAAAAGCTCACATTTTTCTCAAGAGATTTCTTTTGCAGAAGTTTTAACGAAATGATATATATTTAAATCAGCAATCAACCTTAAACGCATCCAAATTTCTTGTTCTTTCATCGGGTCGACGATCACCGTGTAGACAAACACATGTAAGATCTGAATGAACGAACCGATAACAATATAAAGTTAATAGTTAAACGTGAAATGAAGTTCGAAACCTATTAAAAATGGACAAGTCGTAACAAAGTTAATCATATAATCTATTTAATGATTGCAAAACTCTTCCTAAAATTCAAATTCCTGTGATATTTCACAAATGATCAACGCAAACCTTGTGCTTTACGTCTCAGGTATCTCTCCAGATTATCGCAATCAAGTTTTGTGCGGCAAAAAATGATGCCCTGATCCATATTGCACTGGCGAATAGCCTGGAGGAGATGAGCAAAAGTCAGAGAACCGGAGGAACAATTTGAAAAATTGACACTTTGTGAAATGCAATTAGAAAAAATGAGACAATACTGGAAGAAAACACACCTTCAAGACGTATTCACCCTTTAGAATCTTCGTGCCTTCCGAAAGAGTTTCTGGATAATCGCTTCCAGGACGAATTTCATCATTTGTATGAATGCCATCAGTCTGAGAAGTGGAAATATGATGACATATATTAGAAAATAACCAGAATTTGACTCCCGCAAGATTTTCATAACATACCTGTATCCTTTCCTGTGGTTTCAATCGTATCCACATACGATCTGTTTTGGCATCAATTTTGCAAACAACATGATGAACGGTCTCCGGTACAGAATCTTGTCCTTTGAGATCCACCCACTGTGGAAAATGCATCATGCGATCCTGAAAGTTTCATCATTGTCTGTTCAGGTCGCAAAACAACCATCAACCATCGCTAGCAAGTTACAACCCACTTGTTTTTACTTTTTACTTTTACGGTTCATACTATTTCTGTACGATCATACAAGAGTCATTGTTAGTTAGTTTGTCAGACATATAAAGTCCATTCCATGATAACTTATTTGTTAAGAACAATGACTTCACCGCTCAATTAAGACTTAGGACATACGTCTCGCTGTATTCCACAGTTCCTAATCTTATCGGTACGGCTTTCGGGAAACTAGAAATGAACTTTCAACTCACACATATAGCACTCTCAGCAGTTATTTCACTAGTTTGAATATATCACACATCCTCAAAACAATCTTTTACCGGATACCAAGAAATAATTACTACACGCGAAATAGTTGATACCTTCCCGACATTCATTAAGAAAAACAAAAGAAATTGACAAAATAGAACCAAATTGAAACACTTACAGCAAGTTTCTTAACATCAAAATTATGGAGCGTCGCCGAACAAACAATCATTTGCAAACGTTCTCCTAAAGCTGTTATCTTCGGCAGCGCTGCATGGATGCGCTCGATAGTAGGCAAGTGATTTTTTGCCGATACTAACGAATCCTGCAGTTTCGTTAGTTTTGCAGAGAATGACATCTCAACGATGAAATTAATTGTAAATCTCAAGTTTTAAAATGTCCGAAAAATTTCTACAGTTAAAATTTTTAAATATGCATTTTCCTGAAACGCTGAGTCAGCATGTGATGTACGTGATCAACGGAAAGTAATATGGATTGAAGGGTTCGGGTTCATTTTTCTTATTTTTTATTTTTTGTTCAGACTTCTAAATATGCACGTTCAAGGTATTAGAAGACTTTCTGATCTACGCACAGCAGTCAAGTCGGATGAAGTCGAATCGAAACGATAAAATCAGATGAACCTAAATTTTTCAAGAAAAACACTGAATAAATAAAAGAACTGATAGCACACTCATAAGCACATGTAGTTTGACAATCATGGAATGAGTCGGGATTGTGACAGTTTAGAGCAAAATAAGAAAAAAATAACATAAACTTACGGCTTCGTCTAGAATGAAGAACCGAACATTGGATAATAGAATTTTTCCACTCTGGATGAAATCTTCTAATCTTCCCGGTGTACATGTAATTATATCTATGCCCGACATGATAATTCCTAATTGCTCATTCACTGGAATACTGCCTATGACAAGTCCATTTCTGAAAACCGCAACGTTTATTCCTGATGCATGATAAAGATACTAAAGAATTATATAAGTTAACAGTGTCATTTGAATATCAGTGCATCCAGCTGATATTTTCAAGGTGAACTATAATGTAAAGTACAACTGCTGTAACATAAACTTAAGCTCTTTTCAAAGCAGAGTAACTGTACTGAATTTATCATCTGTGTTGAAGTTGATAACTCTGTTAGATTTAACATAGTTTCAACAACACAAATTAAGTTTAGCATAGTTTTTAACACGATAAAATAACTTTATTAGCTTGCAGGAATCATTCTACCTTAATCCGATACTAAAAAAAATGCTAAATGAACTTCAGATAAGAATTCGAATTCAATAAATTCATTATGGCAATAAATAAAGCGAGAAAAAAATCCATACTTAAATTATCACCTGATAGTTGGCTGCTTAAGATATTTTTTGAAGGTTTTCAACTGACCATCTGTTTGCTCTGCCAATTCCTTTGTGGGTTCAAGTATGATACACGCTGGTGCATTTGGCTCCGCTATTTTTTTCGATTCATTAGCGCTTGAGCCATTGGGCGAGATCACAGTATTTTCAGGTGATGCCTTGCATACCGCAATGTAGCCCTGAATCTCGAAGGGACAGTTAACTAGATGTGGTGACAGAGAATTAGCTTGTATCTGGAATCCTTTTTAAACTTTCCAGAAACTTCAACTTCCTAAAACAACAGCAACGTGTGATAAAAGAAGTCGGATTGCTTTTGCTTTTTCAGTTCTAGTAATATATAATTCCTCAAAATTCTCTTCAAAAATTAGTAACAATTACTAAACAAACCTCAAAAAGATGTTTGAACTCCGTCTCACCAAAATTGAATCGAATTTCGGCATTCTGTAATAAAAAAAAAGTAAACTAAACCGCGGTTATAAAACCTTCAATGATTTCAAAACCAAAAAATTAAAACTAATCATCATCCCCAAAGCATCAGCTGATGGATATGGTGAGGTTCTGCATGATATTTCGGAATATGCAATTAAAATAATTTCGGACTCTTAGAGTAGACAGGATAAATAAATCCAAGAGTTGAATATGCAAAAATAGAGAATACGCTTCTTCAAAGAATACGTTATTTCTCTTCCGACAACACGCAAATACCTTGAGAAAATTATGAAAACAAGTTATGGTAGTGGATTATCCTGAATTTGGAAAAACTGCATCTATTATCCTAAACTTAAAAAAACTGCATCTTTACCTTCAAAACTACAGCAGGATATAGTGCTGCATTTCGCAATGTATCCGGAATATCGAAAGCTTTCCCTAAATGCTTGCCATTTTTTGAAAAAGCAATAATTCCATTATCCAAATCCAACATGCAACCAATAATATCACCCAACGTGAACGAAGTACCATAATTGTCAAACTGCTTGTTGTAACTTTTTTTTCCCGTGCCACCATAACCGAAACTATTTTTGTCGGTACCTTAAAAATTTGCAGAAATCAAAAATCGCTTTCTTTGGCCAAAAATTATACACACTACATGAAATCAATTTTCAACAGTAAAGAAAGAAAACATGACATTACTTAAACAGATTTTTAACTTGAGAAGTATGAACCAATTGGAATTTTTTCGTCCATTTTGGTGATCCCAAAACTCATCCCAACATTTATTATTAGCTGAAGGAAACTGCAAAGTATGATGCGTCAAAACTAAATTGAAATAGAAGTTAGTTTGTGTAACGCAGAGAAAGACAGACGCTCTAACTACTGCAACCCATTCGAAGTAGCTAAATGCAGCATAAATTAGTTCTTCACATATTATGCAGCCAAAAACGAAATAAACTGAAAACAAGTACCTAAGTCGAGAACAGCATTCGCAGTTGACCATCCCAGACGACATAACCCGTCATCAGTTATTGTTCCTTCATAGTAGAATTTCCCTACAAATTTTAAATTCATATGTGCTAGAATTTTTGTCCTGTCACATTCATTGAATTTTGTGCATACAAATTGGCGCATGGTACTAAAGTACATAAAATGATACATATGTGCTTAGATATGTCAAAAATTGTAATAAAACAAAGAATGATATACGCAAAACCTTTGCCAACAACACCATGAGTACAGCGTGTCCCATTCCATGCCTTTGGATCGCGACTTTGACAAAGTAACCCACTCGGATCAATCGCAAGATTGTTATCTCTATCATGCACATTCAAGCACCATCTTTCATCTGCAATATTTACGAATCGACTTCGACCATGGTTACAACTAAATCGAAAATAAATTGAAAAAGATTTGGAAATTTTGCAATACGTAGTAAAATTCTCCTTAACCATTATTTTATTTATTTCAAATCTAAGAAGCAGTCCTGAGATGACAGTCATGCACATTTTATTGGATACCTCATTCATGTTTGCTAAAAAATAATATAACTTGAAACGCTGTACAAGTTACAGCGCATATTCTAAAAGTGTGTGATGCAAATGTATTAAATCCATTGAATTCTATGAGGTGCAGAAATGTCCATAGAACAGTCGTGGATAATTGTCAACAGGTATCGAACACTTTTTTCCTAATATCCAAAGTGACGAAAACCGCTTAGCAAAAGAACCACGCTTTAGATTTAATGGTGAATCACCAGCTCAAAGTAAGTAATTCTTCGAAGTTCCTTAGCAAATAATGAATTTCATAGATTTATTCCCATGTGAAAAAATCATTATAAAGATAAAAAGATAAAGTTACCAATGCTATTAGTCGGTTTATGCGTTTTATTCAACATTGAATCCCGTAAGGATTCCCAAACGATTTGCAGCACGGGTAGACAAAAGGCACCTGTTTTGCCACTTCCTGTTTCTGCTGCCTGAATTATACAGTCATGTAACCTCTATTATTAGCAGTTATTTGATTCTTAAATTTCTCAGATACTTTGTAAAATGTAATAAAAAAAGAAAGTCTGTTCGAATAAATGAAATGAAAAAGCAAACAAATATACCATAAGTACATCACCGCCACCAAGAATTGCAGGAATTGCTTCGGACTGAATATCTGTAGGCAACCTAAAATACCAGCAAACCTAAGCTACAGGAAGTAATAACAGCGCATCCACTAAATAAATATTTTCACTTGAGTGAAATGGAATTTGACGTCGGTTAAGGATAATATTACTTTGTACTACCATGCAATCAATGACCACGGATAACGGGGAACAAGATTGACGTATGTTGTATATGACATTATGCATTTTACCTAATGGTAAACACTTTCCCTTTTTTCTCGTTCCGTATTTAGATGAATGCTTAATTTCTGTCATGGATTTTTGTTAGAAAATTTCACTATAAACAAATTCGAGACACTTTTATTTCATATTTTCGATGCAAATACTTCCAATTCTGTTTTCAAACAAATAAAGGTTTTATTCCTATTCAATCGTTTAAATCCTAAATAATCATCTCAGTGGAAATTCAAAGATAATTGATGAATGAGAATTGGAAAAAACTTAAATAATGTTAAGGAACTAACGTCCATTCCATTTCGTCCACTGCTCTGCCCAATTCCGGCAACATGCCCAACTCCTCGAAGGCTGTCATCCTTCTCAGTTAAATATCCTACTGAGCCAATCGGAAATCAAATAATCGGAGAGAAGACAAACACAAACATAAACCATTCACCAAAATGGCTTACCATCCGGTGTAGCTGTTAGTACACACCTTATGAAAATTATGATCCCACCCGATTGACTTCATATCACGGGCCGCCAAAAATCGGTGATCGAAATCGCAATACATATCCTATTATCCTATTATCAAATTCTTATTATCAGAAGGGACTCCAACTTGTTCAACCATTGAGAAGATTAAATGAAACAAGGAATTTGATGGTTTGTTTACGGGTGATTATCGGAATTTAAGCACGAAGTCAGGCAATTAATAGTAAATAGTGTGAAGTGATGGTAAACTTTAAGGACAAGACAACAGTTCTTTAATAATAATGTTTAAGAAGCGTAAATACAGGATGAAAGTTGTTCGTTTATTCCATTCCACTATTGCAAAGTTTATTTTATTTCTTTTCAATATAATACTACTGAGAGGAGAGTAGAAGGAGTTTTCCAATGCTTGTCAAACAATTTCCTTTTTCGCAGCTCCTACTGGAAAATTACTTTAAAATAAATAAATGGACACTATTCCTTTTGTCAGTCCCCAAATTTCTGTTTATCGTCAAATGATTTGCCCCGAATAACACAGCAGCGGGATACATAAATATGTAAGTAAAAAACACTGCTTCTGTTGCATCGGCTGTTTTATAATGCAAATAGATTGTACCACTTAAAATTCAACTCGAGCTGCTAATGTACTTCTTAAAACAACGTATTCACCGATTTAGACGGTATTTGAACTTGGTGAAAAATCTTATGAGATCCATGGAAAGGTAAATTATTTACATTGAATCTCTTTCAGCGTACTTCATTTCACTCCTCAGATGGTGCGTGAAGTTGGTTTTTTTGCGAATTGCACCTCGCGTAAACATGTCGACCAATAGGAAGAAGGAAAGTAGTTCAGGTTTTACTTTATTTAACAACCGAATATAAGTGACAAATTTGAACGCATTCACAATACTTAAAAAGTATTCACTTGTAGTGAACAATAATACGTGCATAGTTTCGAATTTGCCATGAATTTGAAGAAACAATAATGCAAGGTTAAATTTTAATTTTTATTTTGTTTTAACGCCAGTGAAAGTAATTTTCGTCATGACTGGATGGAATTTTAGGACCATACGTAGTAATTAAGGATATTGACTGTCCACAGATTTGCAAGCCTTGAAAGCTGTAAAACCTCTCAACAATATGAACATCAACAACGAAACAGCATTCATCCTCTTCAAAATATGCAGATCAAAATTTCCAATGTATTTCACAAATCAGTGATCGGTTTTGAATCGCCACCGGTTCGTACCCAATGTATATGACAGCTTTTACATAGAAGATGATCATTTAGAGGATAGCAGCGTTTTTCCGGTTCATCTGTTAGCTGCATGCCACAGCCCTGCAGATAAAGTAAAAGCTAAATAGGAATTAAAATAAGATAGAAACCATCTCTATTTTATTCTCTCTCATCCCTTTAGGTTTCTTTCGGATTAGACGATAGTGCATTTAGGATTACATGTTCAGATCACATGCTGGAAGATTTCTGAAGGGAAGGATGCTTTCTGGAAATCAATAAAAACCTGAAACGGCAATCTGCCGGATAGACTGCAACTACATAACTGCACAATTGGAAAATTCTTACCTTGCAAACATAGCATTCAATATGATAATCTCGATTGATTGCAACAACGTGAACTGTCTCTCCGGTTTCCTAGAAATGAAAGAAAATTTTTCATCAGTTTGGTTTTCACCAGTCATTCTATTTCTGTACATGATATCAAAAATTGCATGATGGAAATATTTCAGAACTTACTTTATTAGGCATAATTGCTTGAAGACATGCAGCACATTTCGGTGCAAAAAGCCTATGATAATCTTCGGTACAGTACACATGACCTTCCGGATCTAAAGCAAACGGAACACCGTCCAAGCAACTTTTGCATTTCTCGCAACGGAAACATCGTGGATGATAGGATTTTCCAAGTGCTTGTAGAACCTGCCAATTTTTTTGTAAGAAATTCAAAATAATGGTAGAAGTGCTTCCATCCTGTTCAACAAAAAGCTGTTTGTTTCACGTGCATCTTCAGTTAATCTTAAAATTTTCATCCTTTTTTTTTCGAAAAATTACCTTAAACTTATTCAAGTATTATTCCTCAAAGTTTTGACCACCTTATTAAAAGCTATCATTATTATAAATTTACATACCATATCCATAATAAAGTGTGAGCACGCAGCGCATCGTTCTGCTGTCTCATGCATCCCACTGTACAAGTAATCTTCTTCACAGTACTTTTTCCCTCGAGCCTGAAAATTGTCAATTCTATTCAACTTGTTAATTTAGCAACTTAAAGTATATTGCATTTTATTGTAACCAGAAAAATTGGGATATATTGAGAATGACTTCAACATGAAAACTTCAACTGCAACTGAGTAAACTCTAATATATTCATTGTTATGGATTTCTGAACTTCATCAGAAGTCTCTATCTTTACTGTCGAATCAAGTCATGAAGTATTTCGCTATGAAATAAGCTACTTTATAGAATCTTTTTCCTCGTAAAGTTCGTCCACACATATCACAAGTAAAGCAGTTCTGGTGATACAGTTGCCCAAGTGCGCAAGTGGCATCCATTTCTTCCAATATGGCTTTTCCACACAATTCACAGATACCGATCGGTTTCCGATTCAGATTCAGTTGTTTTTCCAAGTTGTTCGTTATTTCATCATACTTTTTGCGCTGTACGGATATGCCTGAATCCGTGGATGTTACCGAATCCATACTCTTTTTTCGCCACGGTGGTATCACGGTGGCATTGCTTTTCGGCTGTTTGTCATCATATTTGTTAGGGACATTTGTCGAAGGAAGCTGATGATTAGCTGAAATTTCTTGCCTTAAAAGAGAGATTTGTATAATTTATGTATACTTTCTTTTACTGTTTAATTAATTGCTTAATATTAGTTCAATTTCTAATCTCATTTTTTTTAACAAAATATAAAAAATTCATTGAAACAATCAATAAAATTCCATAAATTTAAAATACCGTTCAAATGTACGTCATTTATGCCTTTCTTTGCAGTATTTCCGTTCATCAATAACCTTTCATTTCGATCAATACTTGACTCATTAACTGATTTCTGAAATTCGGTTTTTTACATATTTTTCCGACTTTGCACCAGACATAAATATCAGTGCACCGGATACTGAAGTATACCAACATAAAGTAAATCTAAGGAAAGCTCATCGTTTGTGGCAAAAAAGTTTGAATGAAACTATGGAAATGCAGTAGTAGTGATACGTATAACGATATTCAGCTCTCATTTTCAAAAATTCCTCAGTATTTCAATTCAGGATTCGAAAAATAGTCTTGGAAAAATTATAAGGAGGAACCCGAGATAGTCGCCGAATAGGTGGTCCACTGTGGTAGTATGTTTTGGCTGATGAAATCAGACCATGGAGACCACTATTAGCAGCACATGGTGTTGCCCGATAGGTATCTTCGTTTGAGTCAGTCCAGTTAGTCTTAAAAAGAGATGCTTTGTATCAAAACCGGAAATTGCATTATTTTAGCTCCAATACTAGCTTATTTGCAGGAATAGGAAAGGATTCCTACGGAAAGTGAACGTGTTTTCAAATTGCAGGATTCCACAGTCTCTGATAAATCTGTGCTAATTCCAGAAAAATCAGATACCATGCTGAATCCACCTGTCGAAATCGATGAGTGTGAAGTTTCCGTGTTACTGGAAGCACTTGTCGGACTTATGGAAGCTATATTCTGGGCACAATTCAATTTTTTCGTATTCACTACGCCAAATACGGTATTTTCGCCGGATACAGTAGCCACATTGGTATGATGATACTGTATTGGAGTTTTCCTAACAACCGCTGACGAATGTTTTTCCTCATCACTCAGGTCTTTCCGGAAAGTGTTCCGGACAAAATTTGCAGATAAGGTTGGTGACTGGTGTTGATGTTCGTACCATGGATTTAGTGGACGACTGGCTGACACTACCTGGAATTCGAATTTAAATTTTATATTCAGAATTTTCTGTTTTGCCTCAAAATTGCTTAGTTTTATATGATGCATGCACAAGTTAAATTCAGCAGCAATGAAAACTGAACTAATTATTAGCTGGAAATGATCACCTGTTCCTTAAGTTTACCAATTTCTCTTTTACTCATTTTATTTTCGTTATTACTTTCAGCAGGTGAGCATGGGTTACCGTTACTATTTCTGCTAGTAGAACTTTTGCTGCTGAAAGATGTTCCTGGTTTTGAATTCCATGTACCATTTTGTACATGCTGTAAACGTAAGAACAATTATACTAAGTGAAAAATGTAAATATGAAATTCAAATCAATGGTTGCATTTGAAAGAAATTTTGCAAATCTAATCTTCACATTACCAACAGTAATCAAAGAAACATAACTCCAAAGAAGTGCTTTCTCTTCGGAGAGTATTCATTTCTTGTATTATTAAATTTTATAATTAATACTTTGGAAAATTATGGATGACAGGTTTCTATTCGTTTTTTCTTTTTTGAAAATTAATTTGTCGGAACATAGCATACCTTTTGTTTTTCTAAATTAATGTGATGCAATTTTAATTCAAATTCTTTGCTCATCGTTTTGCTGTCAGCATCACTAATAAGACGTTGTGGTGGCGGTGGCTGTCCGAATGTGTCAAGTTCACGTAAAAAATTACGTGTTTCCAGTTCCACGTCCGTCATCGCGAATAACTGAAAAATCTGAAATTGCAGTTTCACCAGTGACACAAACAAGTACGCTTCAAAACGAATTTCATACACGATTTATTACGAAACATACTGTCAATCTCATTTTGTCTTAAGAGAAAGTTAATCTCAGTGAATTCAGAAAAGTTCAGAATGCGAGAGGCGATAAATTCTTGAGAAAAATTCTCAATTTCCATAATCCATGATCTGAAGTTTTCAAATATCATTGTGTTCTTAAGAGAATTAGTTAGGCCTTGGCTTTAATTATTAAGACATCAAGGAGTTGTCAACGCGAAACTGTTGGTATCGGTGGAACGACAGTAAAAAAGAAGAAGTGACAAATGAATCTTTTGAAGGTCGCTTCATTGAAAAAACAAAAGAAAGAATCTTAAACAACACATATCACCAATTTATTCGAAGACAAGTTAATTATTGAAAATCGAATATTTAGCAACAGGTACAAATATCACCACAACGAGACATGCTGCAGACTGCTCCGAAAGATGAAGAAATGAATGACTGATGTGAAATAAGATTATCAGGATTATTAAGATTATGTCTTTTCTACGGTTTGCAAATAAGAAAAATGATTCGTAACTTTTTAAGTCTCAATTTCAAACTTAAATTTACCAGAAAACAATGATTCTAAAATAAACAGTTGTGTTATTGTGCTTTATTACAATAATGCAGTAGAACGAATTTTTCTCTTTTTTGAATGAATGATGTGAAAAGACCATTCTTTTAATTCATAATTAATAAAAGGTCAGAAAAGACGAAGGGCATAACTATGGGATTGAACAGACGGCGCCATACGTTATTGAAGAGAGAGAAAACGAAGTTGAAGTCATTTCGCTTCTCACTTAGTTAAGATTATGGATATTATTAGTTCGAATTACTCGAAATTGCTCTTAAATTTAATTTTATTAATAGGAAACGGACATTTTATTCGTTCGATAAATGCATCTAATTTGAATACATTCAAATCTTGCGATACTGCAACTGCTATTTTCTGCCAAATAAGACGAAGATCATCATTGGAATGATCGGATCAGATCGATTCATGTTTTGCAAGTCAAATGATATGCATTGTATGATTTATTTAAGTGAGATACAAGAAATGATGAAAAGAAAAACAAATACGTTGTATTTTCAACCAATAATTTTAAAAAATACCTTCAAAAAAAAAAAAAAAAAGATGGAAATCGAAAAGAAATGATCAATTTTTATGGAGGAAGTTGAGAAATCACAAATTTTTGATTTTGAATATATTCTGGAAAATAAATGTTCGCATAAATAAAAGATCTTCTTGAAAATTAAAAATAATTTCGAACTTTTATAGAGTAGTTGGAGAAAGTAGTGATGGCTGGATTGAGGGAATAGAGAAAAAGTAAATTGAAAGGAGTGATAGGAGAAGCGGAACAGATGTTTCCGAACTTTTGAGTGCCAACTTGAAGTGCACAATTCGTTGAAAAGAAAACAGAAGTGAACAATAAACGATATGAAGCAAAAATATGCCCAAATGACGATCCAAATTTTCAACATTATACACTATTGCGTCACCAATATGCGTTCAAATCTTTTTAAAATTAATTTGGTTCGAAATTAATTTTATCATCATTTAAACTAAAAGGAAATAAAAAATTAAGTAAAAAAGATCGATAAGTGAGGGTATAAACGAGAAGAGAAACTGTAAATTAATGTTTAATTACAACAGGACAAGGTAATCGTATGATATACTTCCTTATCGTATGACTGACTCAGTTGCCCTCTCAACATGATAAACTGACACTCCTACATAAGAAAATCATTAAGTCAAACATTGCTGTTGATTCACTTTGTCCACAGAAAAAAAAATAGATTGGAATAATGCTTATAAATCAAAACAAAATAGTTTCCCATAAACTATCAAAAAAGGTTTAAGCTTGGAATCAAAAATTCTAACAGTAAATTAAAGTCTTTAAAAAATATTTCATTAAAAAAAAAATGAATTGAAATGAAGAAGTAAGAAATTTAGCAACAAGAAAAAAGAATGAATCCTCGAAAAAATGCTCAATTGTTGGCATTTAATTCGAAAATTTAAGTATTAAGAAAAAGAGCTCCATTGTTTTTTGAAAAATGCTTCCCGGTTTATCAATGAATCAACAGTGAATTCGTCACCACC